TTTTTGCTCAAGATTGGTGCTGTATCACTTGAGCCATACCTCTACTTCAAGCTTCTTTGTGGTTAATTGGAGATAAACATCTCATGCACTTTCCTGCCTGAGCTGGCTTTGAACCATGATTCTCAGATCTCATCCTCCTGATCACACCTCCGGCAGGTGTAAGCCACCAGTGCCCAGCTCTGTCTCAGCTTTGATAGTCCTTTTTGCTCCAAAGCCTTCCCCTTATCCCTGTTGGGATTTTGTAATAAAGAACATTGTTTTCACCATTTCTAGCAACCCAAACAGTTTAGCAAGCTGTTGTCATACTGAAGATATTAGTGGCTGGCATCCAGTTTCGTCATCTTAAATGATAGACCTACTTTCTGAAGGATGTCTCCTATTTCACCAGCAGCCTGAGAAGAATCTTGCAGACTACCACTACCAGCTAATTAATTTGAGGCAAGATGTAGTAATTTGACTTACAACAGTATCCTTATTCACAAAATGAGATTATTATTGTTCTAATGGTGCCTCATGTGATAAATTGTCAAAAGTATTTCCCTGTAAATTGCACTGGAGTGTGGGAATTGACATTTATTTAGGTGTGTGTGTGTGTGTGTGTGTGTGTGTGTGTGTGTGTGTGTGTGATGGCTTGAACTCAGGGCCTGCGTGCAGTTCCTGAGCTTTTCTGTTCAAGGGTAGCACTCAGTCACTTTGAGCCACAGCACCACTTCAGCTTCTGTAGTGGTTAATTGGACATAAGAGCCTCACAAACTTTCCTGCCTGGGCTAGCTTTGAACTGCAGTCGTCAGGTCTTAACTTTCTGAGTAGCTAGCACGACAAGTATGAACCACCAGTACCCAGCTACTTCTGGAAAGTTACTAGTTAATTGGAGATAAGTGTGTTATGGACTTCCCTGACTGGGCTGGCTTTGAACCACAGTCTTCAGATTTCAGCACCTGACTTGCTAGGATTCCAGGTGTGAGCCCTCAGAGTCTGACTTTATGTTTGCTTAATCTCAGAGTAGTGAGACAGCCACAAAAGTCAGTTCAAGAACTGAAGATTCAGGTGACTTTTGTTTTCCTTTCAAGTCTCCCTGAAAGTAGAGGTAAATGTGTCAAAAGCCATGGAAAACATCCAGATGCTGGAGTCAAAACTGACCCATTATACACTTAATTTCTGAACTTTATTTGCCTGTCTGTGAAATGGGTGTACTAAACCTAGTGCTCCAGGATTTGTGTGAAAATTAAATAAGTAAACATAACCCCAGGTTCTGTCCCTCCTGTCATGTACCACTGTGTATTTAAATGTTTAAAATAGGCTGGGTGCTGGTGGCTCACTCCTGTAATCCTAGCTACTCAGGAGGCTGAGATCTGAGGATCGCAGTTCAAAGCCTGCTCGGACAGGAAAGTTCATGAGACTCATCTCCAATTAACCACTAAAAACCGGAAGTTGAGCTGTGGCTCAACTGGTAGAGCGCTTGCCTTGAGCTGATAGAGCTGAGAGACAGCGCCCAGGCCCAGAGTTCAAGTCCTACAACTGACAAAAAAAATTTTTTTTAAATGTATTTCACAGTTGTATTCCTAGATTTTGTCTGGCACAAATGTTTCTGGAAGAGATAACATTTATAATTATATAGTCTGCCAGACTCACAGAAGATCTGCAATAAATTAAATTAAATATACATGGACACACACGTGCATAGAATAAAGCAAGAGAAAGAGGAAAAATTTAGACCGATTTCACTGGAACTTGGGTCCTCCATGAATCAATAGGCAGGAAGTGGTTATATGAGGGAACATTATTTGGAATCAGAAGCTCTGGATTCAAATCCAGCACAATCATATGGGCTCTGACGTAGCATCTTAGAAGCTTACAACTGTCACAATAACACAGATGCTAACCTTGGGGATTAACTATATGGTTAATGTCTCCTCATATCCTAGGTCCTCCTCGAGAAGCAGACTCCAATCATTTCTGGAAAGATGCCTGACAAAGAGGCTTTTTCTGATGGAATTCTAGTTTCCCTTGAACTCTTTTTTTCTGCCAGTCCTGGGGCTTGAACTCAGAGCCCAGACACTGTCCCTGAGCTTCTTTTGCTTAAGGCTAGCACTCTACCACTTGAGCCACAGTGCTACTTCTGGCTTTTTCTATTTGTATGGTACTGAGGAATGGAACCTATGGCTTCATGCATGTAAGGCAAGCACTCTACCACTAAGCTACCTTCCCAGCCTTTCCTTGAACTCTTTATTTTTTGTCAGTCATGGGCCTGAACTCTGGGACTGAGCACTGTCCCTCAGCTCTCCAGCTCAAAGCTAGTGCTCTACCACTTGAGCCACAGCACCACTTCCAGCATTTTCTGTTTATTGGTGCAAAGGAATCGAACTGAGGGTCTCATGCATGCAAGGCAAATTCTCTACCACTGAGCCACTTTCCCAGCCCCCGACTCTGGTTTTTGAGTGGTTAATTGGAGATGAGAGTCTCAAGGACTTTCCTGCCGAGGCTAGCTTTGAACCTGGATCATCAGATCTCAGCCTCCTGAGTAGCTGGGATTACAGGTGTGAGCCACCGGTGCCTGGCTCCCTTGAACTTTCTTTTTTTCTTTTTCTTTTTTTTTTTTTTGGGGGGGGGGTCGGTCATGGGGCCTGAACTCTGGGCCTGGGCCCTGTCCCTCAGCTCTTCGCCTCAAGGCTAGCGCTCTGCTCTACCACTTGAGCCACAGCGCCACTTCTGGCTTTTTTTTTTCCTGCTTATGTGGTGCTGAGGAATCAAACCCAGGGCCTCAGGCATGCAAGGCAAGCGCTCTACCACTAAGCCACCTTCCCAGCCCCTGAACTTTCTTTCTTTCTTTCTCCTTTTTTTTTTTTTTGTGGTCATGAGGCTGGAATTCTGGAACTCTGGAACTCTGTCTGGGCCTGGGCACTGTCCCTAGGCTCTTCAGCTCAAGTCTAGCAGTCTACCACTTGAGGCACAGTACCACTTCTGGCTTTATCTGCTGAGGAATCAAACCCAGGGCCTCAGGCATGCAAGGCAAGCATTCTACCACTGAGCCACCTTCCCAGCCCCTTCCCTTGAATTTTTTTTTTTTTGGGGGTCCGGTCGTGGGGCCTGAAGTCTGGGCCTGGGTGCTATCCCTCAGCTCTTCAGCTCAAGGCTAGCGGTCTACCTCTTGAGCCACAGTGTCACTTCCGGCTTTTTTCTTTTTGCTTATGTGGTGCTGAGGAATCGAACCGGCCATCAATATTGAATCAGAATCCTCATCCTTCACTGTCCTTCTAGGTAAAGTTCCATTACCCCTGGCTGTTTTCAGCAAGAATCTTTTTTTTTTTTTTGGGGGGGTCCAGTCGTACGGCCTGAACTCTGGGCCTGGGCACTGTCCCTCAGCTCTTCAGCTCAAGGCTAGTGCTCTACCACTTGAGCCACAGCACCACTTCCAGCTTTTTCTGCTTATGCGGTGCTAAGGAATCGAACCCAGAGCCTCATGCATGCAAGGCAAGCACTCTATCCACTGAGCCACCTTCCCAGCCCTTCCGGCTTTTTTCTTTTTGCTTATGTGATGCTGAGGAATCAAACCCAGGGCCTCTGGCTTGCAAGGCAAGCGCTCTACCACTGAGCCACCTTCCCAGCCCAAAGCAAGAATCTTATTAGATCAGTTCAGCCCACATCACTACTTACCTTTTTTGTTGCCTTTTAGTAATTGTCTACCCACTGACCTTCCAGTTGAGCAAGTGGAATTCTGGATGGAGTCACTGCAGTGGTTCCTACAATCACCATGTGCCCCCTCCCCATGAATGATGCCTGCCCTTCTCCTCCCCTCCCCCTTCCCCTTCTCCTTGCTGTCCCTGAGATTTTGGGCTCAAGGCTGGTGCTTTACTACTTGGGCCATAGCTCCACTTCTTTTCTTTTTGGTTGGTTGTGGGGCCTGAACTCTGGGCCTGGGCACTGTCCCTCAGCTCTTCAGCTCCAGGCTAGCTCTCTACCACTGGAGCCACAGTGCCACTTCCAGCTTTTTCTGCATATGTGGTGCTGAGGAATCAAACCCAGGGCCTCATGCATGCAAGGCAACACTCTACTACCGAGCCACCTTCCCAGCCCATAGCTCTACTTCTTCTTTGGATTTTCACTGCTTAAATTGTTACAAAGATTTATGCTCTCACTTGGTTTTTTTCCCCTCAAAGCTGGTATTCTACCACTTGAACCACAGCTCTGCTTCTAGCTTTTACCTGGTTCATTGAAGATAAGAGTCTCCTAGGGCTGGGAAGGTGGATCAGTGGTAGAGCGCTTGCCTGGCATGCATGAGGCCCTGGGTTAGATTCCTCAGCACCATATAAGCAGAAAACTCTGGAAGTGGCACTGTGGCTCAAGTGGTAGAGCACCGGCCTGGAGCTGAAGAGCTGAGGGACAGTGCCCAGGCCCAGAGTTCAAGCCCCATGACAAAAAACAAAACAAAACAAAAAGTCTTATAGACTTTCCTGCCTGGGGTGGCTTCGAATGGACACCCCCAGATCCTAACGTGGATGACAGGCAGCAGCCCCAGCGCCTGGCCTGAAGGAGAGTCATCGAGTGTTTTTTTTTCTCCTTCACCTCCCATACCTAGAAATCCCCAGCCGCAGGAGAGCTCCTGATTCTTCTCCAAGCCTCAGGCCCTCACCGTGCAAAGGGCAGAGTGCGATCAGGCTGGAGAGGAAATCATCCAAGACAGCACTTGGGCGCCTTCAGAGTTTTTGATTGGGGGGAGGGCTTTGCTCAGATGGGGAAAGAGGGGGGGCGCGGGGTTCGGCGAAAACATCCGCCTGGCACTGCAACTCTGCCCCCAAGAACAGCCCTGCACACTTTCACGGAGCAGAAAGGTGCCTTCGGAGCTGGCGCGGTGCCTGGGAACGGAGCGGGGCGGGGGGGGGGGGGGGGTCTGCACCCCTCTCCCCGCCCCCCCGCCCCGCCCCCAGGTGCGCCGCCCACCGCGGCGGGCGCGGCCCGGCGCCGAGCCGCGCGCTCTAGGACCCGCCGAGGCCCGGCTGCGGGGACGGAGCTGCTGCGGTGCTGCCGCGCGCGGCCGGCCGCGGGGCTGGAATGAAAGTAAGGCGCTCCGGAGCCCGGAGCCGCATGGAGCGCGCGGCCGGGGCGGCGGCGCCCGGGGCAGGATGCGGCCGCCCGTAATTAAATAGCATTTACTCTTATTATTACTAATAATAATAACGTAATCATACCTCTAGTCATAGCATACCATTTATCGGGCTCGGCGCAGGCCCGCGGGGAGCGCAGCCCGGCCGAGGTGAGTGCACCCGAACCCTGCGGGGCAGGGAGGCCGGGGTGTCGGAGTGGGCGGGGGGACCCCCACCGCGTCCCGGGGCGGCGGCGTGCGGGGACTCGGGGTGGGGGTGGGCCGGGCCCAGGCCGGCCCGGGGAGGAGGCGCGGGCCGCCCGCGCCAGGCCGGATCGGCGCGCCGTCCACCTGGACTGGGGGGTCGGGGGGGGCTTCACAAAAACACAGCAATCGCCCCCACCCCCCTCAGCTCTGTTTTGGGGGAGATCGCTCTCCCCATCCCCGTTCTCTGCCCCAAAGTTTGAAAGTTGTGCGGCCCGGGCACCTGCGCCGGGAGCCGTGGCCTCCCTGCGGCTTTCAGGGGTGTCTTGGAATGTCTTTCTGGGGTGGGGGGCTCCGTCCTCCAGCCCGGAGCCTGGGGGTCCCGCGGATGCTGTGGCAGCCCCTCTGCCGCAGGGCCAGGACTGGCAGCGCCCCCACACACCCCTTTTGTGTTCGCCTGGGCTCTGCAGCGCCTGAAGTTGGAAGGGGCTGCGGCGAGGGCCGGGACCGCGGCCGCCCGATGGGCAGCCCCTGTCGGCTGCGTCGGCCACGCGAGCCCGGGGATCCAGGGCCTGTGGCCCGGCCCTGGGGGAGGGGGCGGCAGGAAAGGGGGGCGCGGTCTGGGCCCTCTGGACTGGAGGGCATTTCCGGTCGCGGAATCCGTCACTGGACTCAAGCGGCCTGCGGGGTGTTCAGAGGCCTGGCAGAGGGGGTGCGGGGTGTATGTGTGTGTGTGTGTGGGGGGGACTGCAAAGCTGAGGCTCTGGCGTCTGGGGAGGGGTCGGCCAGGAGGGGCTGGGGCTCCTGCAGACATTGAGCAGACCCCCCAGACCCCCTCCTCTGTCCCAGGCCAGCCAGGGCCTTGCAGGATCCAAACTCTCTCAGAGAAGGGTGTTTTAAGGTGTTTATGAGGGGGTCGTTCAGAGAGACAAAAGCAGTTTCCCTGGCATGGGTGGTCATGTGGAAGCGGAACCCAGAACACTGGGCTAGAGCAGGATGGTTGTGGTGTCAACATGGAACATAATGGTGAAGACTGGGAACACAAATGGGGGTCTGGGGGACTGGAGTCCCCAGCTGGGTGATTTGATTTCTCTTTGCTAGCCAGGAATTTGGCTCCTAAGCACAAGACTTGAAGCCCCAAGCTCTTTCCATTTTCCTCCCCGCCTGCAGTTCATCCAACATGATGAAAATAGCAGAATGCAGATCCTTGAATTTTCACACAAATGCGATAATTATAGTACATTTAGCAACTGAGTTGGACACGAAATTCTAGCGGAATTTTTCCTTCTACTACCAAGACTCGCCCCACACACACGTACAACCATTTCCTTCCTCCTTGGTGGTCTTCTGCGCTTCTACCTCCCTCCCAAATACAAGTTGCTTCCACCTCCCTCCCAAATACAAGTTGGTTGCAAGCTAGAAATGGTGTAAAGGCCCAAACCTGGTTGAAGCAGTTTTGAGAAACCTCGTTCCCAGAGCATTCATGGCTCACACCTGTAATCCTAGCTTCTCAGGAGGCTGAGGTCTGAGAATCATGGTTTAAATCCAGCTGGAGCTAGAAAGACTGAGAGAAGACTCTTATCTCCAATTAATAACCCCACACACAACAACAACAAAAAAATCTGGAAGTTTAGGTGGTAGTGTCTCAAGTGGTAGAGGAGCCTTGAACAAAAAAACTAAGGGAAAGTAAAAGGCCCTGAGTAAAGGCCCTGAATTCAAGCCCTAGTAAAGGCTGGCTCCCCCCCCCCCCCCCCCTTGCTCAGTAGTGAATGTCTGTAATCTAAGCACTGTTGAGGTGGAGTGAGGATTTAAGAGCTTGAGGCTAGCTTGGGTTACCATAATGAGATCTGTTTGTCTGTCTGTCCGTCTATCTCTCTCACACGCATACACACCGCACTCTTAGTTTATAGCTAAAAGTGCTTTCACATAGGCTGGTTCATCTGTCCTTAGCATTTACATCATGTAGATATTTTTTCAATCCTTATCTTCCAGATGAGGAACCTGAGGCTTAGAGAATTGGTGTTTTCACTGGACATTCACACAGCAGAGCTAGAATTCCCCCTTTGTTTTCTGACTCTAAATCTTTGCCTTTTCCCAGGGTCTTGGGCTACGTAGCTTGTGGCTTTTCCAGTAAGTTACTTTTCAAGTTACTTTGGTAAGTTGCTGTGGGACAGATCTGGGATTGAGTTGCTTATTGTCAGCCTAGTAAAGAAGAGTTAAGCCAGGCGCTGGTGGCTCACACCTGTCATCATAGCTACTCAGGAGGCTGAGATCTGAGGATCACTGTTCAAAACCAGCCTGGGAAGACAAATCTTCCAAGTAGTCAGCAGAAAGCAGGAAGTAGAGGTGTGGCTCAAATAGTAGAGCACCAGACTTAAGTGGAAAAAGCTGAGTGAGAGTGCAAGGCCTTGAGTTCAAGTCCCAGTACCAGCACAAACAAGCCAAAACACCTCCAGTGAAGTATTGGGAGCCAAGATGAAGGAGAGCTGAGAGTAATGTGGCAAAGCCTAGAACTTGAATACTGAGCTTGGTAGAATGTGGAGTCCGAGGCAAGATAGAATTAAGGAAGAGCAGTCTCTAGCTAGCCACGCGTGTGCGTTTATGGGATCTGTAGTTTGTCAGGGGTAGGCTTTTTCTTTTCTTTCTTTTTTTCCCTTTCATTTCACAGAAGTTAAAAACACATAGGACGCCTGTGGCCAGCTCAAGGTCACTGTGCTGGATTTGAATCGGGCTTTCATAACTCCTTGACGATGTTCCGTCCCCTCCTTACTCTGTGGCTACCTTTATCTCAGACACAGAGACAAGAACATGGAAAGAATGGTCCGAATTGCCAAGCACAGCAGGGCTAAGGGAGGCTCCCCAAGGCCACCCAGTTCTAGGAAACTGCTTTGTGTCTCTGAGCTCTGGAGGGCTGGCCCAGCAGAGAAGGCAGAATGGCGGTAGGAGGACAGACCTGACTGTGGAGATCTGAGTAAGTTCAGTTAATGTGGATGATTAACCTGAGCCTCCCAAGGAGAGGAACTGGCCCAGATTCACCTTCTGCCTCCAGCCCGAGTGGACAGACCAGGAGGTCACGCTCTGCCATTAGGTTGTCAAGCTGAATTATGCCTCAGTGCAGAAGAGGAAGGCTGGTTTTGCCTGGGGTGGAAGGTCTTTCTAGAAGAAATGCCAGTTGAGGGGCTGGGAAGGTGGCTCAGCAGTAGAGTGCTTTCCTTGCATACATGAGGCCCTGGGTTCGATTCCTCAGCACCACATAAGCAGAAAATGTTGGAAGTGGCGCTGTGGCTCAAGTGGTAGAGCGCTAGCCTTGAGCATGGAGAGGCTCAGGGACAGTGCCCAGGCCCTAAGTTCAAGTCCCACGATTGGCAAAAAAGACCAGAGAAGGGGAAGGTAGGGATGTATGTAGAAGGATCAGCTACAATATAGGGGCAACTATGGGCTAGGATTCAAGCCATTGTTGGTATTCTGGAATTCACCCTGAGATTTGATAATGTTTGAAGATAACCCTTCCCTGGGGTCAGAACAGGAAAAAAGAAACTCAGATGATGAAACAAGAGCGCGTTTAAATTTTTACTAACGTAGCCACTACCCAGTATCCTTGGTTAGTTTATTTAATCCTAACAACCCTACAGAGAGGCCCCAGTTCCCCTCACTGTATTGATAAAGGGAGTGTCGCACAGAGAGGTTAAGCGGCAGTGCCTAAGTAGCAGAGCTGCTGAGCAAGCCCAGGCTGTCTACCTGCACTGTGGGCGGGGAGGCTGGTGGGTTGTGCAGTACAGACCTTGGGCGGCGGAAGTGGGGTGTCCTCTGGGGATGGAAGGGGGGGGTGCAGCTGGAGGCTCAGCTCCCCAAGCCTGCTCAGAAGCCAGCCCCTTTCATCCCAGCATTTAATGACCCATAGCAAAGAGGCTCGTTTTCCTGTCTCTGTCAACACCAGCCCTCCTTATTTATTTCACCCGGTGAGTCTGTTTCTTTGCACGGCTCCGCCATGGCTTCTGCAGGTGCTGGGTTGGTTTCCTCCCCAGCGGGCTGCAGCCCTCAGGGAGGAAATGCAGCATTTGTGCCTTGAGAAGCCATCTTCTCCACAGCCACCTAGTGACTTTGGTTCGGTGACAATTCCTGCGCCCTGTAGTGGAAGGGGGGCCACATGGCAACCATGAGAGCAGCTGCCACATGTTCTTTGTTTTTTGTTTTATTGGTCAGTGGTGGGGCTTGAACTCTGGGCCTGGGCGCTGTCCCTCACCTCTTCAGTTCAAGGCGAGTGCTCTACTACCTGAGCCACAGCGCCACTTCCGGCTTTTTCTGCTTATGTGGTGCTGAGGAATCGAACCCAGGACCTCATGCATGCCAGGCAAGCACTCTACCCCTGAGCCACCTTCCCAGCCCCCACCACATGTTTCCTGCCACTACATCTTAGCACGGGGCCAACTTCCGGTTTTTGAATTTGCCTTGCAACTTTTTGAGACAGCAACAGTGGTTACCAGCCCCGTTTTGCAGATGAGGAGACTGAGGTTCCAAGAGTTCAAGAAGTCACAAAATCGCCACGCTGTGAGCAGGACGTTGCATGGAGCCTGACCTGCGGGACTCTGGAGTCTGAGGTTCTAACTGACATGGTGGGGATAGTGTGAAGTTACTTCCAGTCTCCACACTTTTCCCTTCCCCTTCCCTTCTTCTAGTTCTTTTTCTTTTTCTGTTTACATCTGAGATCGGGATTTGAATTCTGGATCTGATGCTTTCCTTCATTGGCCAACACTCTACCAACTGAGCCATGTCTCCAAACCCTTTCTTTCCTTTCTTTTCCTACTGGTGCTGGGACTTGAACTCTGGGCCTTTCATCCTCTCTTGGCTTTTCAAGGCTGCCAAGCTGTCATTTGAGCCACACCTCCAATTCCAGGTGTTGTGAGGTTTTTTTTGGTGCCTATCCTGGAACTTGAACTCAGGGCCTGGGCACTGTCTTGAGTTTTCCA